AATTCAACAAGGAAACCCTTCCCCCCCCTAATGGGAAAAACAAATAGGTTTCAAACATCATAAAGAATCAGTAGTCTAAGGGCCCTTAAAAAAATTCAAAAAACTTTTAACTTACTGATACAAAGACTCTTACTTTAGTAATGAAACCCCACTTTATACAACCTTCTAGAAACTTTAAAACAGTCACTTAAAAAGTACAGAAAACAACTGGGAAAAAACTCCACCCGCTTTTTTAAAAACTTTGAAAAGCAGCCAATCCCAGTAAACTTTTTACAACTCAAATGGGGAAAATTTTCCCCTCCCCAAAAACAACTGCCAGGGCCAAAACTGGGGTGTAGCAGTGATAGTGCCATGGTAAACAAATTGATAATTTTAAAACCCGTTGGGTTTTAAAGATTTTGCTTTAAAATAAGGGATTTTTTAAAGTTTAAAAAAATAATTATTATAATTTAATTTTTAACAAAAAAACATTTTATCAAATTTTTAAAGCGTACGGGAAACTTTTTCATCGGGGATTAATATTTTAAACCCCCCTTTACTGTTTCCCGGCCCCTCTCTGAAACTGTTCATTCTATTCCTCAAATTTTTTTAAAAAAAAAAAAAATTTTTTTTTTCTTATGAATGAAGAGAATCTTTTCCCCCATGGGATGACACCAAAAGTTTTAAATTTGGTCGAAAACTCGTGGAATTAAAGCCCCCGCGAAGTTTTGCGGTCCCGGCGACATATTTCGTTATCGGGGATTTCGCCGACTTTTAGCCCTATTTTCAAACCAAATTTCCCTTGTTCCAGTTGACCAAACCATACCCATTTCTTTAGAACTTTCCCTTTTTTCTAACCGCAGTACAAGAAACCTCCCCCTTTTAATTTGGACTCCCCCAAAGGTGTCAAAATTGGCAAATTGGGCCCAAAATTTTTGCAAAAAAAAAAAGAAAGCCAAATTTTTAAAAAAGGGGCCAGAATAAACAAGGCAGACATTTGTTTTGGGCCCAAAAAAAAATATGGGTCAATTCATTAGGGGGCATCCCCCCCTAAAGGGCCCCTTATTATATAGTTTCTATTTTGAAATTTTTTTTCAAACAAAAAAATACAAAAATTTACTGTTTTGCAGAAAACTGCATTTTTTGTAAAAAGGGGTTTAAAAAATATCAGTGCACTAGTGGGAAAGAATTTTTAGACTCCCCCAGTTGACGTGTAAATTTGGAAAGTTGGTGTGGGTTTTTTTTCCCCTTGAACATTGGGAAAAATTTTAAAATTTCCGCTACTTTGACCCCAGTTTTCAAGGTCCCTTTTTATCATAAAAGTAATGAAAATCATCTCTATTTCTGTAAAAATGTTTTCCATTTATTTTCCCCAAGACCATGAAAACGCGAATAAAAAACGATTTAAAAAACTATAAAGAAAATACACCTCAAAAATCGGCGTTTTAAATTCCCCAAAAAAAGAACAGTTTTTTTTCTCCCTTACCAATTTGCTGCAGGGTTTTTTTTTTTGGGTGCCCCACTGACCACAAAAAGACCCATTTCTCTCCCATGTGGGCCCACCCGCTTTTTCCACTTGATTTTTAAGCCCCTAGAATTTAATTTAAATATATATACGCGAAAAATTGGCTCAAAAACTTTTTTAACGTCGAAAAAAGCCCAAAGGGGAATGGAGATGGCAACTGTCTTTCAGTATCTAAAATTCTTTCTTTGGATGTGATATTTTTAAAATGACCTTACAATGGATTTTGCAGTATTTAAAATTGTATTGCCCAAAAGCAAGTAAAATTTTTTTTGGAGTAATTGCAACTAAAATTTTGTTTTTTTTTAGATACTTTTTTTAAAGGCACAAAAAAGAAAACATGAAATCCGTTTTAATAAGTTTTCCCCGAAATTTTTTTTTTTTTGCTAAGTAATATCGGTTTTTTTAAAACTTTGAGCTAAGTGCATTTTTTTTTTAATTTACAAAAAACGACTTTTTTTATTTTAAAAAATGATTACACAAAGGTAAATACCCAAAATAAAACTTGGGAAATAGTGAATAAAATTTTTATTTATTAATCTTGTAGGCCTTCCTTTTTTTAAAACCGGATAACATGTTTCAGATTGAATTTTGGGGAGGGGGTCTTTATCTAGGAATCGGGTCTGTGCTCCAGTTCCCGAATTTTAGCCTGAATACTTTCCCTCCCCCCCCTAAAATGCCTTATAAAACCAAAGGGTTTAGCCTTTTCCCCCCTTGGTTTTTAATAAAATTTATTAAAAGAATTTATTTTACATTAGTCATCTCTAACATGGAAACTCATAGGTATGCAAAGCATTTTGGGCATTACTTAAATCCCAAATAAACAATCTGTATGTTGCTTTAGCACTACATGTCTTAAAGTATCTTTTCAATTTTTTTTTATGTACAAAAAACCTTGTGTTATAAACCCAAAAGAACCAAAAAACAACTTTATTACTTTGTGTAAAATAAAGGATACCTTTCAGTAATAAAAAAATTTTTAAGCACAAAGAAAGCCACTAGCCCTGCATGACATTTCAAAAAAGACTGTACTAATGCTTTCACACTACTTTGGGTTAACATAGGTTACTGAGAGGCAAAAATTTTTAAATTTTGCATTATTAAAAAAAAGAGAGGGAGCAAAAAAACAGCCTCTTCCCCACTTTAGGGGGGGGGGGGGGCCGGGGGGGGTTGTTTACCAACGGGCTCACTTACAAAGGGCTCTTTTGACCAGTATAAATACCTAATAAAATATATTAAAATGATTTCCTCATTCTGTTTATTACAGTAACAATACTACTGATAAACGTTTAAAAAATAACTAAAAAGTTATAAAAAGTGCAAAAGTGACCTTTAAAAAAATAAACAAAAATGGTTTTACACAAAAAACCCCTACCATATTTGCTTTCCCTTTCTTTAGCCCACAAATTCGTTTTTCCAATGTGGGCCCTTTGAAAGAAACTCCATCGTTAAGTGAGGAGAGGGGTTTTAAATTTCAATTTTTAATAAAAATTTCAGACCCCCCCAAAACATTTTATTATTTAATTTTTAAAAAAAAGAGAGGTAGCAGAAATATTACACTTAAACAATTTACAATAAAATATAAAATTTTTACAAATAATTAAAAAATTTTTTTTGGGGTTTAATACTTTTAAATTTTATTTGTGATCTTAAGTTTAAAATTGGGGTTTATTAAAATATTTTTAAATTGGGTCTGTGATTTCAGGGCTATGGGAAGAAATTTTAAAGGGGGAAAGGTGAAGAAACAGGAAGTAGTTGGGTGAGTTGGTTTGTTTGGGATAGGGGAAGTGTTTTGGGGTAGTTAAGGTTTTTTAAAAGATGGGGGTGATTTTTAAAATTTTAAAACCAAAATTTATTGACAGACAGGGGGCCTTTGCTAGTTTTGTGCAAAGAATTCCAGATCTTGGGGCCCTTTAAAGTGCATTGGGATTTTTGGGGTAAGGGGAGGCAGACAAAGGATGTCATGTTCTTACTTTTCTTGAAAGGGCACTTGATCCATGAAACTGGAGTGAAATCCCATTCATTGGATTAAACCTGATTACCTATTATTCCCCGAGCAATTTATGACCCTTTACCCAGGGTTAGCACTTCTCCCATGACTATAATAATAATACCCACATTACTGCATGTATGCACAGTATGTGAGACACAATGTGCAGGTTATGCTATTTTATAAAGATTTGAGTCTTCATAAATAAAATGCCATAACCAGCACATTGTGGGTTTAGATACTGTCTGTATGTAAGAGGTGTGGAAGTAAAAGATAAAGAATCAAGCACAAAGTGGGAGTTGTCACAGCTTCTCTTTGCTGATGACACTGTGCTTCTGGGAGATTCTGAGGATAAGCTGTAGAAGTTGATGGATGAATTTGGTAGGGAATGTAAAAGAAGAAAATTAAAAGTGAATACATGTACAGGAAAGAGTAAGGTGATGAGGGTAACAAAAAGATTAGGCAATGAAAGATTAGATATCAGATTGAAGGGAGAGCATGTGGAGGAGGTGAATGTATTCAGGTATTTAGGAGTGGATGTGTCAACAGATAGGTGTATGAGGGATGAGGTGAATCATAGAATTGATGATGGGAAAAAGGTGAGTGGTGTACTTAGGAGTCTGTGGAGACAAAGAACTTTGTCCGTGAAAGCAAAGAGGGGAATGTATGAGAGTATAGTTGTACCAACACTCTTGTATGGGTGTGAAGCATGGGTGATGAATTTTGCAACAAGGAGGAGGCTGGAGGCAGTGGAGATGTCATGTCTGAGGGCAATGTGTGGTGTGAATATAATGCAGAGAATTCAAAGTTTGGAAATTAGGAGAAGGTGTAAGATTACCAAAACTATTATCCAGAGGGCTGAGGAGGGGTTGTTGAAGTGGTTCAGACACGTAGAGAGAATGGAACAAAACAGAATGACTTCGAGAGTGTATAAATCTTAAGTGGAGGGAAGGTGGGGTAGGGGTCAGCCTAGGAAAGGTTGGAGGGAGGGGGTAAAGGAGATTTCGTGTGCGAGGGGCTTGGACTTCCAGCAAGCATGTGTGAACGTATTTGATAAGAGTAAATGGAGACAAATGGTTTTCAATATTTGGCATGCTGTTGGAGTGTGAGAAAAGTAACATTTATGAAGGGATTCAGGGAAACCGGCAGGCCGGACTTGAGTCCTGGAGATATGAAGTACAGTGTCTGCACTCTGAAGGATGGGTGTTAATGTTGCAGATTTGTAACTGTAGTGTAAAGCACCCCTCTGGCAAGACAGTGAAGGAGTGAATGATGATGAAAGTTTTTTCTTTTTCGGGCCACCCTGCTTTGGTGGGAATCGGCCGATGTGTTTAAAAAAAAAATAAGAATAAAATAATAATAAAACCTACTTCTTGCATTTGATTTTCATTCTCATAATCTTGATTTAACTTTATAAATGTAAACCAGAAATACAGTATATTTGGAATCATCTAATTATGTACTTATGCTGTAAGATGCAATGTACAGTAAGTAAAAAGCAACACTTACAGAACAGTTTGGGCAAACAAAGCCAGACATATTCTCAATAATGCCAAGTACGTTAATGCCTGTTCTTCTGCAGAAACTTAGTTCTCTTGTAACATCGTCAACTGCGATCATCTGTGGTGTTGTTATCAGGACAGCTCCAAGAACAGATGCACTTCTGCAATAGATGAAATCATATTCTCCATTAATACCCATATTGTGTATTTTTTTTTTCAACAAACCATCTATATCCCACCAAGGCAGGGTGACCTGAAAAGAAAAACAAAAGTTTCTCTTTTCAAATATAGTAATTTATAGAGGAGAAGGGGTTACTAGCCCTTTGCTCCCTATATTGCATATGTTATATAATAAACAACCACATTTTGAGTTGTAATTAAATTACAAAAATGATATGAAAGTAATTAATACAAACGGAAAACTTTAAACTTGATAACTGCTATACATACGTAATAAGCTTCTTATGGGTGCTGTTTGACACCGGTGAAAGGTTCTTGATCCAGGGAACTTGAGCTAACCTATACAATGAAATCTGATTGCCTCTCATTCCCCAGGTACTGTATAACCCCTTATGGGCTCAGCACTTCCCCATAAATATAAATTATAGGCACTGTATGACTTCTATGCATTTTGTATTTTTGTGGGTCTGTAGTGGTAGGTCTGAGGGAATGGAAAGGTGCATCTTGACATCTGTGTCAATGTAATCTAGGGGTCCCTTCCTCATCATACCTCTTTTTCCCTCCCACTTATGAAACTTAATCTGTAGAATGTAACCAGAAGATGATTCAGACTCCCTCCAGGGCTCACCTAGTCACTGTCAAGCAACTGTTGGTAACCTCACTCTATGACCAGTGAATTGATTCCTCCAACACTCACCCAGTCATTATTAAGCAAATGAAGCAAATCCCAATATGATCATTAGCCTGTAACTTCTTTGACAATGATCCTGGCATCTCGTAAATCACTCTCACAATAATCAGCACAATGTTGTCAGAAGGCTCTGCTTTCTGTGGACTTATTCTTTTTCTTCTTCTACTAGGTGCCCTATCTACAAGCACTCTGACTAGTCAGAAATTGGGCCACTGTTCACAGGTTTAGCACTTCACAAGACAAAAAAATAATCTTCAATGTCCCATCTCTATACAAGAATATCCTTTCCAAGGAAAGTCCCTTGCTGTGACAAAGGGCTCTTGTATCAGAATTAAATCCCTTCCCTTCCTCATACAGAATTTAAATAATCCCCTAACCCTCTCTCTCCTTTTGCCCTCATTAGGCAATCTATTTTCCCTTTTGTGAAATCCAGATTCTTGATAGAAAAAAGAGGAATCACTTAGTCTCGTTTTAATGTATCTATTGGTAGTATTGTGGTAGTGAAATCTGGACCATCTTAGTGTAAGTGACCAGAGGGTCACTGAGATGACAAAAGGTGTCTCACTTGCAACAGAAATGATTTACAAGAATGGTATACAATACCGACAAGATGAAATTGAGACACATGTGCAACATCTGGGTATCTTTATTGTAGACGTTTCGCCATCCAGTGGCTTTATCAATACAAATTCCAGGACATAACTTGAAGACAGGAGAACTATGTACAGAAGATGAGGTAATCAGTCCCTCAACCTAGCAGTAAGTGCGAAGAGCACCGTAGTCGTGAAGAATCTCCACGACTACGGTGCTCTTCGCACCTACTGCTAGGTTGAGGGACTGATTACCTCATCTTCTGTACATAGTTCTCCTGTCTTCAAGTTATGTCCTAGAATTTGTATTAATAAAGCCACTGGATGGCAAAACATCTACAGTAAAGATACCCAGATGTTGCACATGTGTCTCAATTTCATCAGAAATGATTTAAGTTCCTTGGAGGTATTATAGGCACTGTATGACTTCTATGCATTTAGTATTTTTGTGGGTCTGTTGTGGTAGGTCTGAGGGAACGGGAAGTGCATCTTGACATCTGTATCAATGTAATCTAGGGGTTCCTTCCTCATCATACCTCTTCTTCCTTCCCACTTATGAAACTTAACTTGCAGAATGTAGCCAGAAGGTGATTCAGACTCCCTCCAGGGCTCACCTAGTAGATGTAGATGAAAAATAATAGTGTATAAATTTGTAGTGGAGGCAAGGAGGAGTAGGGGTCATCCAAGAGAAAGGTTGGAGGGAGGGAGTAAAGGAAACTTTGTATGAGAGGGGCTTGGATATCCAACAGGCATGTGTGAGCTTGTTAGGCATGAGTGGAGGCAAGTGGTTTTTATGATTTGATGTGATGTTGGAGTGTGAGCAAGATACACTTATGAAGGGATTCAGGGAAATCAGTTAGCCAGATTTGAGTCCTGGAGGTGGGAAGGGAGAGGATACTGCAGTATGGAGAGGCATCTGAGCTGTAGTTTACCTGGAGTTTACCTGGAGAGAGTTCCGGGGGTCAACGCCCCCGCGGCCCGGTCTGTGACCAGGCCTCCTGGTGGATCAGAGCCTGATCAACCAGGCTGTTGCTGCTGGCTGTACGCAAACCAACGTACGAGCCACAGCCCGGCTGATCAGGAACTGACTTTAGGTGCTTGTCCAGTGCCAGCTTGAAGACTGCCAGGGGTCTGTTGGTAATCCCCCTTATGTGTGCTGGGAGGCAGTTGAACAGTCTCGGGCCCCTGACACTTATTGTATGGTCTCTTAACGTGCTAGTGACACCCCTGCTTTTCATTGGGGGGATGGTGCATTGTCTGCCAAGTCTTTTGCTTTCATAGTTTACCTGGAGTTTACCTGGAGAGAGTTCCGGGGGTCAACGCCCCCGCGGCCCGGTCTGTGACCAGGCCTCCTGGTGGATCAGAGCCTGATCAACCAGGCTGTTCCTGCTGGCTGTACGCAAACCAACGTACGAGCCACAGCCCGGCTGATCAGGAACTGACTTTAGGTGCTTGTCCAGTGCCAGCTTGAAGACTGCCAGGGGTCTGTTGGTAATCCCCCTTATGTGTGCTGGGAGGCAGTTGAACAGTCTCGGGCCCCTGACACTTATTGTATGGTCTCTTAACGTGCTAGTGACACCCCTGCTTTTCATTGGGGGGATGGTGCATCGTCTGCCAAGTCTTTTGCTTTCGTAGTGTGATTTTCGTGCGCAAGTTCGGTACTGGTCCCTCTAGGATTTTCCAGGTGTATATAATCATGTATCTCTCCCTCCTGCGTTCCAGGGAATACAGGTTTAGGAACCTCAAGCACTCCCAATAATTGAGGTGTTTTATCTCCGTTATGTGTGCCGTGAAAATTCTCTGTACATTTTCTAGGTCGGCAATTTCACCTGCCTTGAAAGGTGCTGTTAGTGTGCAGCAATATTCCAGCCTAGATAGAACAAGTGACCTGAAGAGTGTCATCATGGGCTTGGCCTCCCTAGTTTTGAAGGTTCTCATTATTCATCCTGTCATTTTTCTAGCAGATGCGATTGATACAATGTTATGGTCCTTGAAGGTGAGATCCTCCGACATGATCACTCCCAGGTCTTTGATATTGGTGTTTCGCTCTATTTTGTGGCCAGAATTTGTTTTGTACTCTGATGAAGATTTAATTTCCTCATGTTTACCATATCTGAGTAATTGAAATTTCTCATCGTTGAACTTCATATTGTTTTCTGCAGCCCACTGAAAGATTTGGTTGATGTCCGCCTGGAGCTTTGTAGTGTCTGCAATGGAAGACACTGTCATGCAGAGTGATTTTCGTGTGCAAGTTCGGTACTAGTGTTGGCATGCCTCTGGCAAGATGGTGATGGAGTGAGTGATGGTAAAAGTGCTTTGTTTTTGGGTCACCCTACCATGGTGGGAGACTTTTTTTTTTTTTTTTTTCAACAAGTTGGTCGTCTCCCACCGAGGCAGGGTGACCCAAAAAAGAAAGAAAATCCCCAAAAAGAAAATACTTTCATCATCATTCAACACTTTCACCACACTCACACATTATCACTGCTTTTGCAGAGGTGCTCAGAATACAACAGTTTAGAAGCATATACGTATAAAGATACACAACATATCCCCCCAAACTGCCAATATCCCAAACCCCTCCTTTAAAGTGCAGGCATTGTACTTCCCATTTCCAGGACTCAAGTCCGACTATAAGAAAATAACCGGTTTCCCTGAATCCCTTCACTAAATATTACCCTGCTCACACTCCAACAGATCGTCAGGTCCCAAGTATCATTCGTCTCCATTCACTACTATCTAACACGCTCATGCACGCTTGCTGGAAGTCCAAGCCCCTCGCCCACAAAACCTCCTTTACCCCCTCTTTCCAACCCTTTCGAGGACGACCCCTACCCCTCTTTCCTTCCCCTATAGATTTATATGCTTTCCATGTCATTCTACTTTGATCCATTCTCTCTAAATGACCAAACCACCTCAACAACCCCTCTTCTGCCCTCTGACTAATGCTTTTATTAATTCCACACCTTCTCCTAATTTCCACACTCCGAATTTTCTGCATAATATTTACACCACACATTGCCCTTAGACAGGACATCTCCACTGCCTCCAACCGTCTCCTCGCTGCTGCATTTACCACCCAAGCTTCACATCCATATAAGAGTGTTGGTACTACTATACTTTCATACATTCCCTTCTTTGCCTCCATAGATAACGTTTTTTGACTCCACATATACCTCAACGCACCACTCACCTTTTTTCCCTCATCAATTCTATGATTAATGGTGGGAGATATCCAGTGTTAAATTTTTTTTTTTTTTTTGCAACAAGTCGGCCGTCTCCCACCGAGGCAGGGTGACCCAAAAAGAAAGAAAATCCCCTAGAAAATACTTTCATCATCATTCAACACTTTCACCTCACTCACACATAATCACTGTTTTTGCAGAGGTGCTCAGAACACAACAGTTTAGAAGCATATACGTATAAAGATACACAACATATCCCTCCAAACTGCTAATATCCCAAAACCCCTCCTTTAAAGTGCAGGCATTGTACTTCCCATTTCTAGGACTCAGGCCCGGCTATATAAAAATAACCGGTTTCCCTGAATCCCTTCACTAAAAAAATTAATTGCACTAATACATGAAAAAAAATTTCAGTAAAATCAGTTTTTACTTCTCTTCATTTAATATAAACCAGAATGACCCACATAATAATACATGAGGGGGTTTTCAATATTGCAGTCAGGAGCTGAGAAAAAAAATTTTGTGCACAATATGGAAACACTGTTGTGGAGACTTGGCAACTCTAGGCAACAATATAGACTTCAAATTATTAACTCTGGAGGGCTAATAACCTGGGATAACTCCCAAAAATTAAAGTGTACTTTATTCCTATTGGGTCCTTAATCCCTTTTTTTGTAAGCATAAAAATTTAATTCTGGATATATTCCCACCTTATATTTTCCATGAGAGAAATATGTTCATCAGAAGTGCCAGGAGGAGTGTCAATGATCAAATAGTCAATGTCCCACACAATGCTGGTTAGTAACTGCTTAATCATTGCTATAAAAGATGAGAGAATATATCATAATTAATAAAACTTCACTAATGCACATAAACTAGTCATAGATCCTGCATATCACATATATTAGATAACCAAAATGCAAAAAAGGAAAGTCATGACTGAGAACCCTAACAATTACAAACAACTTCCAAATAAAGATACAGTAAACTGTGGTAGTGTGACCATTATGGGTTTAGCACTTCCCCATGAATATAATACTAATAATGATAATACATGAATAAGATATATGTGCATCACCTGGGTATCTTCATTTGTTGTTTTGCTGTAGTTGTTTGTAATAGTTCTAGGTAGTAGGTTGGTAGACAGCAACCGCCCAGGGAGGTACTACCGTCCTGCCAGGTGAGTGTAAAACTGAAGCCTGTAATTGTTTTACACGATGGTAGGATTGCTGGTTTCTTTTTTTTTCTGTCTCATACACATGCAAGATTTCAGGTACGTCTTGCTACTTCTACTTACACTTAGGTCACACTAACATACATGTACAAGCATATATATACACACCCCTTTGGGTTTTCTTCTATTTTCTTTCTAGTTCTTTTTCTTGTTTATTTCCTCTTACCTACATGGGGAAGTGGAACAGAATTCTTCCTCCGTAAGCCATGCGTGTTGTAAGAGGCAACTAAAATGCCGGGAGCAAGGGGCTAGTAACCCCTTCTCCTGTATATATTACTAAATGTAAAAGGAGAAGCTTTCGTTTTTCCTTTTGGGCCACCCCGCCTCGGTGGGATACAGCCAGTGTGTTGAAAGAAAGAAGACGTTTGTAATAGTTGTCATTTTTGCTGTTGTTTTGTAGATGTTTTGCTGTTGTTTTGTTATAGTAATTTCATATTAGTTTTGTTGTTCTTGCATTATACTTTTGTTGTATGTAGTTATTTTTTGGTTTCGTTGTAATTTTGTCATAGTTGTTTTGTAGTTTTGTCATAGTTTTTTGTTTTGTATAGTTGTTTCATTTTTGTTGTCATTGTTGTTCCATGGCCAGCAAATTAGATAATTAGCAAGCCCTGCCTAAATACAAGCTCTCTATAGACAGATATATTACACAATAAGATTATGGTAAGCATAATTAATATTCTAAGGTATTTCCTGCTGCACCCAATGCAAATTGTACTGTATATAAAACCATGACAAACTCAGCTCCTGTGACATGAAAGACATACGACACATTTTTTTGTCCATTAATAGAAAGATGTTATGCAATCTTACCATTCTTCTTTGGACCCCTCCAGATGACTGCATCATTCTTGGATTCCAGAAAGAATGCAATAGAAATAACGCTCAATCTTTTTTCTTCATCAACAAAAACTGGAACCCATTTCCTGTAACATACGATAAAATAACAGAAATACCTGGTAGATAGCTAGGTGTTCTGTAAAACATAGGTATTATCATCTCAATATGCTCTGTATACAGCCTCTCCTCACTTAACGGTAGAGTTCCTTTCCTAAGACCACGTCAGTAAATGAATCTGTCGTTAAGTGAGAAGCATACTACTATAATGGTAGTGGGTTTGTGTCAACCATTTTTTTATATTGTTTTAATGTCACTTTTGCACCATTTATAACATTTCTGGTATATTTTTAAATGTTTATACAGTACAGTGGACCCCCGGTATTCTACATTAATCCATTCCTGAGAGCTCATCGAATACCAAAAATATCGAAAAGCGAATCAATTTTCCCCATAAGAAATAATGGAAATCAAATTAATCTGTGCAAGACACCCAAAAGTATGAAAAAAAAAAAATTTTACCACATGAAATATAAAATTTAATACACACAAACTGAAGAAGACATGCACAGTTACATGACACTTACCTTTATTGAAGATCTGGTGATGATTGATGGGATGGGAGGAGGGGAGAGTGTGGATGGTGTTAGTGTTTAGAAGGGGAATCCCCTTCCATTAGGACTTGAGGCAGCAAGTCCTTTTCCGGGGTTACTTCCCTTCTTCTTTTAATGCCACTAGGACCAGCTTGAGAGTCACTGGACCTCTGCCGCACAACAAATCTGTCCATAGAGCTCTGTACCTCCCGTTCATTTACAATTTGTCTAAAATGGGCCACAACATTGTCATTGTAATAGTCACCAGCACGGCTTGCAATAGCTGTGTTAGGGTGATTTTCATCCATAAAGGTTTGCACTTCAACCCACTGTGCACACATTTCCTTAATTTTTAAAGTAGGCACAACGGATTCCACAACTGGCATAGGCTTCTCAGGGTTAGCCCCAAACCCTTCAAAATCTTTCTTAATTTCCATACTAATTCTCACTCTTTTTACCACAGGGTTGGCACTAGAAGCTTTCTTGGGGCCCATGGTGACTTATTTTGCAGAAACAAGCACCAAAAACAGTGATAATATGGAATGTACCGAATGTATCCTTAGATGCGCACACACTGGCTGGCTTGTAAAAACTGGCACACAAGGGGCAGTTCAGGCCACACGTGGACACGTCTCGTACGAATCGTATCGAATACCGGGTTTTCAATTGGATACTGAGGCAAAATTTTTGCGTTAAAATGCATCGAATACCGGATTTATCGAATACCGATGCCATCGAATACCGGGGGTCCATTGTAGTTTACTCTACAGTGGTACCTTGACTTAAGAGCTTAATTTGTTTTGTGACCCAGCTCGTAACTCAGTTTGCTTGTATATCAAATCAATTTTCCTCATTGAAATTAATTGAAATGCCATTAATCCATTTTAGCAGAATTCCTGGCTCTCAGGAGGCAGGAGAAAATACTTCAATATACATGTAATGTTAATATCAACTCTACGGCTTATTTATCTATCACAATATATCAAATATGACATAATAAACAATATAAACAACACAGAAACATGATATATACTCTTATTATACAAGAAAATGGAGTGTTTGTGAGGCTAACTGCACTAGATCTCTAGTTTCACAGGGAAAACGCTGAAAGAAAAGCGATTTTCTCAGAATTTTTTTTCCCCAAGTCAGGAGACCAGCCTATGTTTTGGGTGAATATCTCGGAAGTAAACAAGCATAAATGCCTCGTGCCTTCTCACAGAGAAGGCACGAGGCACGAAGTACATAGTACGCTTGTGCTGCCTCGCCAAGTCAACTACAAGCACACCTCGCTCGTGTTTTTCTATGATTTCATGCTTTAATTCAATGGACATCATCCTCTTCTTCTCAGCACTGTCCTTTGTACGTACGTGTACTTACTTTCTTAGGACCCATGGTTTGAAAAAAGAAATTTGGCAGAATAACTCCACAGAACGCAAACACAACACAAGAGAGATGCTTCCACAGCGAGATAACCATGTGGACTTTTGTGGCATTTGCTGTGCCACCTAGTGGTGGCATATCTGAAGCTCGCTTGTAACTCGGATTTTGGCTCGCAATTCAAAGCAAAAAATCGACAGAGCGACAGCTCGTAGCTCAGAAAACCCGTAAGCTGGGGCACTCGCAAGTCAAGGTACCACTGTATACTGTAATAAACAGAATAGAGGAAATCAGCTCTAATATACATTATTTAGGTATGTATACTGGCCAGAGAGCCCGTAGTAAGTCTGAGGCATTGGTAAATAAGTACGTCACTAAGTGAAGAGAGGCTGTACTTTACAAGTCATCATCATTTCAAAAATAGCTCAAGTAAAAACAAGTTTTTAAAATAGGATACATATAGAAACTTCAGGGCTAGGATGTATTTTCTATAATTCAGTATTGCACATTGTGATCTTGCATCACCGAACTAACATTATCTTATGGCAGTGATCTTTGGCATTCTGAAATTTATTATTGCTACACAGTTTTCATATTTTTCTTGTAGACTGTTCTGTACTGTTTGACTTTTAATTGAATAATGCTTCTCCTTAGATATGGCTATGTATTTGTGATATCAAAGAGGTTTAGTTTGTAAGGGTATAAAGCATACCAATTATACATGAAAGTCAATAAATTATTAGATCACCTGTAAACTAATGTAAAAAATACTTTCATCCCTGAAAATAAGATTAACATTAGGGAACTTTGCATAATACAGCTGTTTATACAATTTATTCTAATAAACACTTTAGCAGTACAGTACAACAGGAACTTAAATACATGTATAATAAAACTATTTGTAATATAAACAAAGCTTAAACAAATGTCAGAAACAGTGAGATGCCAACAATATTATGAGTCATTATACAAATAACAGTAATGTGAAATTTGGGGATGGTAAAGATTTTTTTTTTTGTATAGTAGAAATTTGCACATTTCTCATAACAATAGTAATAGAAATAGCTTTAAAAATGTAATTTTTGAATCCAGCATTTACTTATATAATTTTTTGTACTACACTAGCCATCTCCCACCAAGGTAGGGTGATCCAAAGCAAGAAACACATACTATTAATCATAATAGATCTAAAAATAAAAATAAACTTTTATTATAAAATGTAGATATACAATCACAAGGAATACAAATACTTTCATTAATGTAAAGCAAATAGTGTGCCTAATTTTACAATTATGTTTTTATAGCACACTGGCCATCTCCCACAGAGGCAGGATGACCCGAAAAAGAGGTAACAATTTCACCGTCAGTCATTCAATCACTATCTTGCCAGAAGCATGCTTACATCAAAGATTAGATAACCCTCCAAAATGCAACACCCTCCAACCCTTCTTCAAAGTGAAGGTACGGTACTATCCACCTCCAGGATTCAAGTCTGGTCATACAAGCATACAGTACAGTACACAGTAACAAAAAAAAATTGCAATACAAGTTTTGGAAAAATGCACTTACCCCTCAGGAGTAGTGAGAACATCCTTACCCTCAACTCCCATCATGCGTGGAATTGAGGGCCCACACAGATCAATGTCTAAGATACCAACTCGGTGACCAGCTGCTCTAAGAGTATAGGCAAGTTGTACTGTAGCAGTGCTCTTACCTACACCACCTTTACCAGACACCACTAGCAAGGTGTTGCCAACTCCAGCTAGAATAGTTTCTGTTAAAAAAAAAAAAAACTTATATGTATTAACTACATGTATTTTGCTAGTTTTTCATACATGATACTTGAAGAGGAATCAAACACATTATCAAAACAGGTCATGGGATGATACAACATCATGTTTCTGTAATTTTCTTGTAAATAGTTTTAAAAACTTCAATAGCACTGATTTAAATAATGACTATACAGCACATATTAGCTTCCACATAGTAGCACAGTACTGTCAAATACTAAGAGTATTTCAGTTGTCACCACAACTGAAGAGGTTTAAATTAAGCATATTATTTCTATAAGTATACAGTGGTACTAAATTATTCATTTGTATTTTATTTTGGCACAACTGTGGTGTGCAAAATGTTACTATGTGCATAATGATTGCATTGCTTCCTATGACTATATATTAACTATTTGCCAATAAATAGCTGAATCTGAACAAACACTGATAATTTTTTAGGTTAAATTGGTAAGTGTTTATTCAAGTACATTACACACATTTGGATTCTTACAATTTACCTATGTAGTACTGTATATAACATGTGTAAATTAACAGCTAATACTGAATTTAGGTCTTTCTCAAAGCTCTGCCATTCTTTTATCCTTTACAATACACACAACCCATCTCTACCCTAGGAATAGTAGTTACTGTATTTGTTTTATTTTGGGTTAGGTTGAGTTGCATTAGGTTAGATTAAATTTGGTTGGATTATTTTAGTTCAGGTTGAATTGAGTTATTTTAAATTAGGTTAGGGTAAGGTTGGTTTGATTACTATAGGTTAAAAAATAGTCCTTTTTAACTACGTGTATAGTCTCAACACAAAATATATAAAAAAAATAGCTTTTTTTACAACTTGCACAATATACAACTAGATGCATTACAAAAGCTACTTAATATTGGAGAACCTAAAGTCAATATTACCCAAATTAACATAGGATAACCTAATAGTCAGTTGAAGTCCCTTGATCTGTACTCCTTGGAATACAGATGAGAAAGATACATGACAATATACACTTGGAAAATCCTAGGAAGACTAGTTCCAAATCTGCACATGAAAATCACTCCTTACGAAAGCAAAACATTCGACAGGAGATGCAATGTCCCCCCCAATGAAAAGCAGGGACACCATGAGTATGCTAACTGACAACACAGTAAGTGTCAGGGGCCCAAGACCGTTCAACTGCCTCCCAGCATACATAAGGGGGATTACCAATAAATCTCTGGCTGTCTTCAAGAGGGAGCTGGACAGGCACCTTAAATCAATACCTGACCAGCCAGTTTGTAAGTGGCCAGTAGTAGCAGCCTGGTTGATCAGGCCCTGATCCACCACGAGGCCTGGTTGCAGATTGGGCCACAGAAGCATTGACTCCCAAAACCCCCTAAAGGTATACTCCAGGTAGTCAAACACTGATACAACAGTTAAGGCCTAAGGTGAAAACTGTGTCTGACACACAGGCAACAGAGAGTGCATAAATGTGGAGAAATCAGAATGGGGACTACAGCCAGGCTTAAATAGTATGTTACAAGGACCCCAATGTACACAAGTCACTTTGATTTTTTTTGTTATCTTGGGTAATCTGCAGACATGTTAGTATGTATAATAATTTTACTTATGTGTACCTGTACCTAAATAAACTTAATTACTTACAAGTGTGTGCCACAGATGTTAGTATTGGGATCCCTGTTGCTCACAATCTTACATAAATGACAGATGATTGCATAAATAAATATATGTTTGCCATTAACACAAAAATAAGCTGTTGCTGGTTGTTGCCACTGTAGTTGCTGTTGTCACTGGTGCTGCTGTCACTGGTGCTGTTATTGCTGTCGTCATTGCTATCGTCGTCAATGTTGTCATTGTTGCTGTTGTCGCTATTGCTGCTATCACTGCTGTTATTACTGTCATCATTGCTATCATGATTGATGTTGTCATCGATGCTGCTGTCATTGTTGCTGTTCTTGTTGTCGTCGCTGTCGTTGCTGTTGTCATCGTCGCTATCGTCGTCACTGTCGTTGCTGCTACCAAATGTTTCCTGAACAACCACCTCAAATTTGGACCATTTCAACCAAGAAATGATGCTGAGTTGGTACCAGGAAATTCTGTTAATAACTGGATGTGGTTAGGAGAGAATGAGTGAGTTAGACTTACCTAGCATGGGCCAACATATTTTCTGTAGTGTTCCTTCATGTTAACTGAGCTTTTAGTTTATTTCTGTTGGAGTCCCTGTAACAGTCTCATAATATACTCTCTCTCTCTCTCATACACACACACTATATATCAGTGGAGTGTAGATGCAACTGTTTCTCTTTTATTCAACAGAATTTACTAAACCCGTTGGGGTTATATAGAGCCTTTCACCTTCCATCCAAGGTAGAATAACGCAGTTACTTGGATCGCAGCGTCTCTCCTGCATCCAGTCTCCCGTTGAGTACCCAATGGAAATCGCTTTATTTGACTTTTTTTGGGTTATCCTAGGTAACTTAAACAAATTATTATGCAAGATAATTATAATCATCGATGGCTAGCGCACTCAGCTCACACACTGAGGTCCGGATTTCGAATCCCTGGTACGGCTGGAAAACATTAGGGACGTGTTTCCATAAGATACCTGCTGTCCATGTTCACCCATCAGTAAAATGGGTACCTGGGTGTTAATCGACTGGTGTGGGTCGCATCCTGGGACAAAACTGACCTAATTTTCCCGAAATGCTCTCTATAACAAGGGACTTTCTATATGGCAGTATGTCATTGATGTCAGCTATGACTGTATACCTTGTACATGTACTTGTAGAAATAAAGATATATTATTATTACTATTATAATTAGTATTATTACCTGACACTGCTGCCATTGTTGCTGTTCGTCTTGTTGGGTTTGTAAGGACCACTGACAACTTACGACGTATCGAACCCGGCTTCCCGCTGTAAAAAACTATACCACGGGTGGGGTTTGAACCTGCAGTCAGTCTCAAAACTCCAGACCGTCGCGTTAACCACTAGACAAACTAGCTTCAATAAGATTCATCCAACTAGGGATGAATCTTATTGAAGCTAGCTGGCCCAGTGGCTAACGCGACGGTCTGGAGTTTTGAGACTCTCTGACCTCGGATTCAAACCCCACCCGTTAGTTTAATGTGTTTATTATGCACCCCATACCATCCTGTGGGAGGGTCACGTGGTATGGTTTGCTTGCAATTGTGTCATTACGATTTCGTGAGTCATTATTCCCGCTGTAAGTTTCTTTAGGTACAGGTAAGTAAGTTTATTTAAATACAGGTAAGCTTGTTTAGGTACAGGTAAATTTGTTTAGATACAGGTAAGTAAGTTTATTTAGGTACAGGTAAGTAAGTTTATTTAAATAAGTAAGTTGGGATCCTCTCCAAGATACGATACTACGATACGGTGGCCCGGTGGTCTGGTGGCTAAAGCTCCCGCTTCACACACGGAGGGCCCGGGTTCGATTCCCGGCGGATGGAAATTCCGACACGTTTCCTTACACCTATTGTCCTGTTCACCTAGCAGCAAATAGGTACCTGGGTGTTAGTCGACTGGTGTGGGTCGCATCCTGGGGGAAAAGATTAAGGACCCCAATGGAAATAAGTTAGACAGTCCTCGATGACGCACTGACTTTCTTGGGTTATCCTGGGTGGCTAACCCTTCGGGGTTAAAAATCCGAACGAAATCTTATCTTACGTGCCACCTCACCTATGCTATCTGTGCTTGGGGATCAACTGCAAAAACACACCTAAAGCCAATAATAACCCAACAAAAAGCCACAGTAAGAATAATCACTAAATCCCATCCCTGGCAACACCCCCCCCCCACTATTCATAGATCTAAACTTACTCCCTGTTCAGTACATCCACACTTACTACTGTGCAATCTACATCTACAGGACCTTAAATTCCAATATTAACCTTGACCTAAAATGCTTTCTTGATAGTTGTGACAGAACCCACAGGCATAACACCAGACACAAACATCTCTATGACATTCCCCATCACTCAGTTTTAACATATCATGGAATTCCCCTAATAATGGCAATCAAGTCTCCGTCCCTGACTTTCGCTTGGTGATTTCATGGACTGAAAAAATTTCTTAGGTGGGCTGAACTGGAATGACCTGACTAGGGGTCAGGTAGGTGGTGATGGTTGCCGATATGATGCTTTCCAGGGCATAGTTCTAGCTGCTCAGTCAAATTATGTTCCAAATAGGGAAATCAGATCAAACAAAAATGATCCAAATGGATGAACAATAGATTAAAATATTGATTGGTCAAAAGAGAGGCTATTAGGCAAATCAAAAGAGGAGAGGGGCAATTAAGAAATCGATATATTCAGTTAAAGAGAGAAATAAAAAAGGGAATTAGAAAAGCAAAAAGAGATTATGAGGTTAAAGTTGCAAGAGAATCGAAGACTAACCCAAAAGGATTCTTTCAGGTATACAGAAGTAAGATCAGGGACAAGATAGGCCCACTCAAAAGTTCCTCGGGTCAGCTCACTGACAGTGATAAGGAAATGTGTAGAATTTTTAACACATACTTCCTCTCAGTTTTTACACAGGAGGATACCAGTGATATTCCAGTAATGATAAATTATGTAGAACAGGACGATAATAAACTGTGCACTATTAGGGTCACAAGTGACATGGTCCTTAGGCAAATAGATAAATTAAAACCTAACAAATCCCCAGGCCCTGATGAACTGTATGCAAGGGTTCTAAAGGAATGTAAAGAGGAGCTTAGCACACCTTTGGCTAATCTTTTCAACATATCACTACAAACTGGCATGGTGCCAGATAAGTGGAAAATGGCAAATGTGATACCTATTTTCAAAACAGGTGACAGGTCCTTAGCTTCGAACTATAGACCAATAAGCCTAACCTCCATAGTGGGAAAATTTATGGAATCAATAATTGCCGAGGCAGTTCGTAGCCACCTTGAAAAGCATAAATTAATCAACGAATCTCAGCATGGTTTTACAAAGGGACGTTCCTGCCTTACGAATTTATTAACTTTTTTCACTAAGGTATTTGAGGAGGTAGATCATGGTAACGAATATGATATTGTGTATATGGACTTCAGTAAGGCTTTTGACAGGGTCCCACATCAGAGACTATTGAGGAAAATTAAAGCACATGGAATAGGAGGAGAAATTTTTTCCTGGATAGAGGCATGGTTGACAAATAGGCAGCAGAGAGTTTGCATAAATGGGGAGAAATCAGAGTGGGGAAGCGTCACGAGCGGTGTTCCACAGGGGTCAGTGTTGGGCCCCCTGCTGTTCACAATCTACATAAACGACATAGATGAGGGCATAAAGAGCGACATCGGCAAGTTTGCCGATGACACCAAAATAGGCCGTCGAATTCATTCTGACGAGGACATTCGAGCACTCCAGGAAGATTTGAATAGACTGATGCAGTGGTCGGAGAAGTGGCAGATGCAGTTTAATATAGACAAATGCAAAGTTCTAAATGTTGGACAGGACAATAACCATGCCACATATAAACTAAATAATGTAGATCTTAATATTACGGATTGCGAAAAAGATTTAGGAGTTCTGGTTAGCAGTAATCTGAAACCAAGACAACAGTGCATAAGTGTTCGCAATAAAGCTAATAGAATCCTTGGCTTCATATCAAGAAGCATAAATAATAGGAGTCCTCAGGTTGTTCTTCAACTCTATACATCCTTGGTTAGGCCTCATTTAGATTATGCTGCACAGTTTTGGTCACCGTATTACAGAATGGATATAAATTCTCTGGAAAATGTACAAAGGAGGATGACAAAGATGATCCCATGTATCAGAAACCTTCCCTATGAGGATAGACTAAGGGCCCTGAAACTGCACTCTCTAGAAAGACGTAGAATTAGGGGGGATATGATTGAGGTTTATAAGTGGAAGACAGGAATAAATAAAGGGGATGTAAATAGTGTGCTGATAATATCTAGCCTAGACAGGACTCGCAGCAATGGTTTTAAGTTGGAAAAATTCAGATTCAGGAGGGATATAGGAAAGTACTGGTTTGGTAATAGAGTTGTGGATGAGTGGAACAAACTCCCAAGTACCGTTTAGAGGCCAGAACGTTGTGTAGCTTTAAAAATAGGTTGGATAAATACATGAGTAGATGTGGGTGGGTGTGAGTTAGACCTGATAGCTTGTGCTAACGGGTCGGTTGCCGTGTTCCTCCCTTGAGTCAATGTGACCTGACCTGACTAGGTTGGGTGCATTGGCTTAAGCCGGTAGGGACTTGGACCTGCCTCGCATGGGCCAGTAGGCCTTCTGCAGTGTTCCTTCGTTCTTATGTTCTTATGTTCTTATGTCCGACTAAACCTTTACAAAAATTCAATGTATGTCAAAGGCCCTAAAATCTAGAACACCCTACCTGAGAACTCTAGAACTGCAGACACATTCATCACCTTCAAAACTACCGTTAGAAAACATCTTATCTCCCTGATACACCCCATCAACTAATTACATGAATACCACCTGGTGGTTAACACTTACTCTCACTCACCCATTTGACCATAAACAGAAATATCAATCTCAATCTTAAAATAATGAATCCTAACTAGTCATAAGTTGGCCTGTGATACTCCAATACTGAAACTATGTACTGTGCCAAAACAAAAGCATTCACATTGCTAAACTCACAAACTAGTATTTAGTCACTTAGCCATAATACCAACCTACCTCATAATTTTGTAATATTTTAAACTTAAGATTTAATCTAAGTCTGCCCGAAATGCCTAGCCATGCTAGGCGTTCTAGTGGCACCCTCTGTAATTATTATTTTACTACATGTAAACCACACAATAACCAAATTCTGTAAACTCAGCATTGTAATCCTTATAGAGAATAAACTTTGAATTTGAATTTGAAGTTTATTTAGGCACAGGTATACATAGGTACACTTATCATACATAGTGTAAATTGCCTGCACATGTCAAAGCCAGTCATAGCATGAACCAGTTCAAGAAGACAGCCAAAAGGGGCCTAATGAATGTAGGCGGAATATACACAAACACTGATCTCTGGCTGAAGGAGACTCGAACCTACGAACCTTGGAACAAGGTACGCAGTGCTTTACCAATCTACCCACACTGGACAATACCTTGGAGTCGAGCTTGTGCTAGATATATATATATGTGTGTGTGTGTGTGTGTGCCTATATATATATATATATATATATATATATATATATATATATATAATATATATATTATATATTATATATATATAATATATATATATGTGTGTGTGTGTGCCTTTTATTATGTATTATTATTTTTTGTTTTTCATGTAGACTTATTGTTGGGTATGGCATCAGGTCTGATGCCTGAAGTATCACTTATAGTTTTACGATTGTTGGGTAAAGCATCATATTCGATTCCATCAAAAAAACATATTTTATGGCCCAAAAATTAAAAAAAAATGGAAAAATATATAAAAATAAATGTCTTAGAATTACCTATATTATCACAATATAGGGTTTAAATTTCATTATACTTCAAATATGATGCCTTGCTGGACAAAGGGTGGTATTCAGACATAAGGGAAGTTTCCCCACAGTTGTTAACTGTTCGTGGTTCTGGGAATCCCCTAGCCAGTCTGACACTCCAGGGAAGCTTGTAATCCTCCACCCAATCTCTCCAATGAGTTTCATCTGCAAAGATGTTGAATACATTCATCTGGTCTGATATTCCTTTTGTTTGGCTGGCCGATGACATCCAGGATGACTTTACCAGATGCTTCCATACTTCGGCATTTTTCTTCAACCTGGAAGAAGCCTGTGAAGCAATATGGAAGTTTGGCATTTTTCACCATCTTCACACTCTGGGATTGTGGGACTTTTTCTCAATTTCCCAACACTTTCTAACTAAGAGACTGTTCAAGATGAGGGTGGGTTTGTGCTAGTTGCAGGAGCTCTTCCCTAGAGGAAGCAGATCAGCATCTTGAGTGACATCTGGGATCGTTATGTTTAAGACATTTTGCTAGCCAGTGGTTTCTTCAGTTCAGTCGAGATTATATTGT